TACGTCACAGGTTGTGTTATTCCTACTAAATTTAACCCATGAACGGCATTTTCTGCGAGCCTTGGTATTTCAGATAAATAAACAAACGAAGTGTTTGATCGTTTAAATAGCTGCTCGCCAGATTTTATTGCATTATAAATAAAAGTAATTGACATTCAATTTTTGATTAATAATTGATTTATGTGGATAGTGGCATTTATGTGGATAGTGGCATAGAATTTAGCATTGCGTCATGGTAAATGTTATTCCTACTAAGTGGAAGTAGTTGTGTTTTTTTTATATTATACCCAATTGTGCATTTGCGATAAAACTAGTGCTCAATACAATACAATATGAAAACATATCATACGTCATGAAATAATCGCTCTATCACTCATCTATGAAACCCACTTTCTTTTCATAATTTTTACAGAAAAGAAAACAAAGCAACATACAATCCCTGGCCGAATTCTTAAACTTACAATAATATTCTATGTAAAATCTTAATTATCAGGTCATACTATACAGCTCTATTGGTTTTATGCCACTGAAACCGGTTTGCACTTCTTTACGTTAGTGTATCAATTGTCTAAATTAGACGATAGGATAAATTAGACGACATATGATATAAATATAGAACATTTATTATATCAAGTATTATATTAGTATATTATAATAATTAGATCAAATTATTAGACGCAGTGTAGTTTTTTTAATAATGACATGATTTGCACGAGTTTATACGCAATACTTTTATATTTAAACATACATGTAAAGGGTTTCTATGCAGGATATTTTTCGTAGACTTCCTATTTGTATTTATTTTTAACGTATTGAATTACACTATTAACCAATTGACACACGAACATAAACAGGTGCAAACCGGTTTAAGTCGTGTAAAAATAATAAAACCTGATAATTATAATTTTACACAGAGTCTTAGAGTGCTTCTCATAATATGGTCAGGTATAGTGAACATGATATACTTTTTTAGAAACGCAAAACAGGTTCATATTACCACTTCTTGCACTTTGTCTCATTCTAATGCATTCATAACATGGGTTTCTTTTACACATGTTCTTAGATAAACTCCCATATTCATTATAGCCCACTAAGTAGAAAAGTAATTACTATATTCAGAAATTTTTTATTTTTATTTTCTTATAGGCTATACTATAAACTTTTATATTTTTAATTATACAAATTATAGAGAGTATATAAATAAATGATTGCATTCGTAAAAAAATAGAAATTAGTAATATTCATGAAAATTAAAAAACTAATAATGTTCATACCTACTTTTTTATGTTTGACTGTTATAAAAGTTCTATTATTCATAATTACTCAAATTCTAGCCAAAAATTAGAAGAAAAAAAACTTATTAGATTAATAAATACTTCTTTATATGTTAGCATTCTCATATTTATTCAAACCATGGACTTCAAATAGTTTTCAATTTCATTTTGAAAATAAAAAATCAATATTCAAATAACAGCTAGTACTGTTTTTTAGTGACTTCTCATAAAACAGCTTTAAAGCTAGGAATTGTACTTAATTATTCTTGGTTGAGTCATTAAATTATTCATGAACGTAGTTTATGACAGGCGTGATGCAGTTGCTATGGGAACGGCGTCAATTCCTAAATAGTGATATGGTAGATTGTCTATTGCTGTTTCGAAAACTAGGAGAATGTTCAGAATTACCTACTTTTTTTCTGAAAGAAATTTCTTTTTATCATAATTATTTTCGAATCGTGCAAAAGTTTTAAAATTAAAATTTAAACAAAAAAGATACTAAATATTTTTATTTGAAAAAAATTGTCTTTCCAACTATCAATTTTAAAATTGACAATTGCATTTGTTTTAAATCTTATTTGTGATTAAAACTTAAAACTATTTAAACTATTCAAAACAATTTATATAATTTTTTTTTCATAAACTACAATTTAGAAATTTTGTAATTAATATCTCAATCCATTAATTTCCAATCATTAATTTTCAGCTATTTATTTTTCATGAATTTTGGCATTTGAGGTACTGACACAAACAGTTAAGGCTTCTAACCGCTATACACATATAATATTACTATCGTCTTCAAAAATTATATGTTTTTTTTTGAAAATGTCAAATTAATTAATTGAAAAACATGAGCTTTACAATGATTTGATAAAACTTAAACCCTACATTGTATATATATATATATTCAAAAAGTTCTATTGAACTGATCAAATTTTTCTATAAAGGATATTTTTGTACTGCTTTCTTAGATTTTATTTATGCTCTCAAAAGTAAACAATTTTATTTCAAAAGAGCTTTCACTACTTGATAATGAAAAAGTTAAAAACTAATGTGTTATTAACCTCCCCTATTTGTTAGATATTTTCTTCCAAGATTGCTCCAAATGTATCTTAATCATGGTTCCAAATTTCGGCCGGCTTCAGTTTTGCTTTAATTCTATGTATAGGCATTTCTTATCAAATTAAACTAGATTTAACCAACAATAATAATGTTTGCTGCAAAAGCTGGGAAATTGAATAGATAAATTTTTATGATTCATTGATTTATGCGGCATTAAAATAGTTAATTCCTAATTATACTTCCATGAAGATGAAAAAAAAAATGTATTATTTTCCTTATAATGATTTCATAATTATTTTGCTTTTATTTAAATTATTTCGAAAATGCCCCACGTTGCTCAATTGGAACTCAATCATTAATTGTTAACTTTTGACAATTAATTAAATTATATCTCATTTCAACACATTTTTTAAAAATATTTTTTATCGTTTCTTATATATATTTTTTTAACTATCTTCCTTTTTTTAAAAAAAAGGAGGGCT